CATGTTTCCTTAGGGTCATATGCCGAACACACCGGTAATTACGGTGTGTTCGGCACTTGCTACGACCCACAGAGCATCCATGGGTCAACCATGTTAATGTGCACTCAGACCAGATCTCATTGACGCAGAGCATCCATGGGTCAACCATATTAACGTCCACTCAGACCAAGTTTGCGCAGCGTGGTGCCCGCAAGTGGCTTTTACTGCAGCGGCAGCACCTTTTTCGCTAAAACGATCGACCTGTCACAGGGATTCCCCGCCTCTCCTAGCACAACTTTTTATAGTCATAATACACCTTTTTCCCTGGTTTTCAGCACATTGCCTGTTTCAGCTACGCCACAAAACGCCGGTCACGTACCAGGCGCTCTTACCACAAATCACAACAAACATGCAAAAGCTAAAGCTACGCTGGCAGAGACCCTTGTGCACATGAACCTCAACATGTATGTGCACTCACACCCGCCCCTCAGCCGAAGCTGCCAGGTGTCCTGGACATTCAAGTCCCATGAGGGTGGGGTGGTGCGAGGCGGTAGGGCAGAGCCTTGACACACGCCTAACAAACCAAACGCGCACACCCAGCACGACCCTCCTAAACCACGAACCCTGGGCAACTCATGCCCTCGCAGGTCCTTCGTTTTGGCACCTGTCGGCGAGGCTCCTGCTAGACGGTCTCTACGTGCCAGCCTAGAAACTAATCTACAGCTACGGCTACATGAAGCTACGCCGCGCCTGATCAGAGGCCGCGGGGCGTGCACGAATTACACGGCGGCGACCGATCAGGGTCCGCGCGCCAGCTGCCCAAGGAACCGCACGGGTGTGCGGAGCACAAGTGCCAGCCGGCACACGCAAAAGCTCTGAAAGGCGGCGCACCCGGCATGGGTGCGCGGAGCCAACTGCAGCAGACCCTTCAGGAAGCGGCTAGAGCAAAAGCTGAGGGGTCTGACGCAAATTAATTCTGGTTGGCCGGGGCCACGGCAAGGGCAAGCCGGGGTTGAACAAAGCCGCAGCGGAGGATGCTGCAGGGTCCGCGCTCGGTGCCGCGCAGAACAACCTGCCGCAGGCATCCGCTTAGACCGTCGCCACACTTGGATCGGTTGCGGTGTTGTTAAGGAGTTATCTTGGTTGTTGACTTTATAAACCAGTTGTAAGTCGGATAGAAGAGTTAGTAATGGCAAAACCTAACATGTTAGCAAAGACTTAACTAACTATTTAGCCGTCACTTAATAACTGTTTAGTCTTGACTTACTAAGCATTAAATTGTGGTGAAATGTACGTTTGATTTTCTAATCCGGGTATGTTTTTCCTAGTTGTGAAAGAAAAAAAAACATTTCGCTCGTGAGAACGCAGGTTTCAGGAAGCAAACAGACGAAACAACAGGGGAATGGGGGTGATGCGTTTTCTTGGCCGGGGCTCCAGATTTGGAGGAGCACGGGGCCGAAATCATGTTTCATTCGAGCAAAAGAAAGAACCGGAGTTTTGCAAGAGAACATTAAGCCTGTAAAGGTTGGAGGAGGAACACTCACCAGGAGACGTACGTAGATGCGACATCCTAAACCAGAAACTTGAAAATGCACGGCCCGAACCATGCGGGAGCTTGTGCAAGCTAAGGGAAAAAAACCTCTGCAGGCTGATGACAAAGCCTATGCAGGCTGGACTTCTTTAAACTCTTGCAGGCGGAAGAAAGCCTATAGAGGCTGCATAAACCTGAATACTTTCCCGAGCCCATAACAAACTTTATAGGGACCTGAACGTCATCACGCTTCTGTCATTTTGCAGCCAACACCTCGCATGGTAGGGTTGCAAAGTCCTGTAGTTGCACTTGCCCTGGGGCCAAATCACCACACACAGAATGGCCGTTCAGGACCCTCGTGCCAGAAGGTGGCGAGCATGGTACGGCAACAAAGTCCGACACACATCAGACGACTTGGAATAAGTGACAGCACACAATATTCCAAAGCTGCTAACCACATGTGCTTGGTTGTTGTGTGCCTCTTTCCATTCAACAGCATCGGCCAAAGTCTTCTATCCAAGAACTTGATTGACAATGCTGTGAGGCTGGCCGTTGTCAAAGTTGGCCAGCAAAATGCCGCAAGCCAGAGCCAATTGCATCTGCAGCAGCACAACATCACCAGTTGAAACAGATCCGCCCTCAGCAAGCTTCAAGGTTCTGCAAATGCTGACCTGGCCCGTTGCCAAACCATGCTGGTTCAACAGTTCCTGCATGGCCCGAGTGGCCCTGCAACCTGCAGGACATGTCGAAACGGCCCGGTTGCTTCAAGTTGAAGAGCTGGTCGGAAACGACCTCTTCGAGCACTGCCGTTTCATAGGCTTTCATGTTCTCTATTGGAGTTCCGATTTTGGTCAACTGTTTATGTTTCGCTCCATAGCAAAGCAGGGAATGAGACAGTTATGTTGCCTCAAACTGTCTCCATAATGAAGCATCCAGTGAAACTTCTTGACCATCCAAGCTTCCCATTGGTTGTCAAGGAGCAGCTGCAGAGCTCGCTCAGCTGCTTTTGTCCAGGTCTGTTCCTCGCACACACCCATGCACCACGGATGTCAAAAGTTCCAAAAAAGAAACCATGGCAACCAATGCCTTGCGAGGCCTCTGATCTGCGGCTCCAGCACATGCAGTTGATGCGAAGTGGGACAGGATGGGGCCGATACACAAAAGCTCGGAAGTTTGCAGCTCTTCTTGCATGCCTCCACCCGCTTGCTGTCAAACAAACTTGGGACATCCGGGCATGCCGCCTGTTTGGAAGCTGCAGGCAGCACCCAGAAGCCGAGGTAGTCCCGCAAGGAAGACCAACTCTGAAGCCCTTGCTCTTGCATTGCTTGAAGGAAAAGGTAGCCGACGATGTTCAATGTTCCATTGGCAACCACTCCATGCATCCAGTCGTGCATGTAACAAGTCACCGGTTCCAAAAAGGTTTGAGCCCCGTAGACCCCAACAAGGCTTGGGACAAAAAGGAGAAACCTGTTGCCTGCTCCCACTGTGCAAACACTTTCGGTGTCTCGGAAAGAAAATCGTTGTTCCATCCTCTGCCAGCTTGCAAGTACTCCCGCATCGCATCAGTAGCCATCTGTAATTGCGATTTCTTTGTAGACTTGGCAGTCGAGGTGTCCTCCTCTGCATCTTCATCATTCTCGCATTGTTTGCTCGATCTGATGCAGATGCAGTTCTTGCACTTGACACAGAACTTTGAGCCGGAGTCCCCCTTTATGGACAGACAATACTTCTGTGCAGCCCCGTCCTGGACCAGGATCTTGAATTTCAAATGCAGCCGCAATGATGGATCATGAGGATTCGGAGATTGCAACAAAACACCTGTAAGTTGCGGATCCACAACATCATTGCAGAACATGTGTTCCTTGGCTGTATGGGCGAAAGCATCGAAAAGTTATGAAACTCTAAAGCATCTAAATGCTATGCACCCAAGCTGCAAACACATGCCAAAAAATGCTTCATGCAGGAAAGAAACCAAGATCCTCCTCAAGATCTGGCTCATAGAGCCATCCAGTTGGCTCATGAAGCTTGTCTTTTGGAACATCAAGCACAGCCAAGCATCTTCGCAAGACAGCACACAGAATTCAGAGAAAGGGCAATACAATGCCCAGGATTTCTTGTAGGCATTACCAGGCCAGCATTCGTCGGTGTACACTACCAGCGAATATGAGTTGGCAGCACTCGATGGATTCCGACTGTGGCAGCTTCTCAAAAGATCTGTGAAAGACCCACCCTGCTTGAAGAGTCCGTGCAAAGGCTGTGCAAGTTCAGGAACATGAGGTCTTTCTCTGCGCCATGCACATCGATGACTTTGCAAGATTGAAGCAGGCTGCCGTAGGCATTCCAAGAAGATATCTCTTTTCGAGTTGCTTCCAGCATCGCCTTTGTGTGAACAACCTCGGGCAGGCCTTTCTCATGAATGGTCTTCAAAATCCCCTCCTGCAGCTTCTGCAGTTTCGCTGGCGTCCCTGAAGCAGCTGCATCTTTATCCATACCATTCAGTCCAAGCGCGATGCATCATACATGATGCAGACCGGCAGCCGCAAGGCACCATGATTATCCACACTACATCTTGGACCTATAAGCATCATACATGTGCATGGCTATACGTTGCAGCGATACCACGATCAAACATGCAGTCTCTCCTAGCACTTGCAACCACATTTTGTACTGTTCATGAAAGGTTTAGGGTGGTTGGGCTTGAGCCCTTCAAGGCTTTCAAAAATTTTTCTTGCAGCGACACCCCGGTCAAACATGCGCGGCACTTGCAACCATTGAGCTCTTCATCAAAGGTTCAAAGTGGTTGGACTTGAGCTTTCGAAGGCTTTCAAAAGGCTTGACCCATTAAAGGCTGGAGCCTGTAAAGGCTTGAGCCTCTAAAGGCTAGAGCCTGTAAAGGCTTGAAGCCTTTGAAGGCTATAGCCTTTAACCTATTTCGGTTTTCTGTTAAAGGTTGGTATTTCTTCTGACAGTCATAACAGCCTGGAAATGCTTTCGGTTTCAAGGCAATGAATATTTATGTATTTACATGCAAACACCAATAGCCCTAAACCCTATACACCCTAAAACCATACAAAAACTAAAAAAATCCCATGCACCAGCAAGCCATAAAAATCCTCAACCCTTGATAAGAACCCTAAAGGCTCAAATCTCGAAGCCTGGAAACGCTGAAGTCTGAAAGCCTGGAAAGGCTAAAGCTTTGAAAGCTGGAGGACAGTTACAAGTACTCCCAGAGCAACCTGCTTAGGAAGGCTAAGCCGTGCAGGCCTTTGTCGCTGCCGCTTGAAACACGTCGCTGCGAGTGCTTGTGGATGTACACGAAAGAGGCACTGAAACCCCATGCCAAGACAGATCACGGCTGCAGCATGCTTCGATGCGAGCCTTCCCCTACACCCCGGCGAAACTCCTCTACTTGAGCCCCATTTTCTGGGCTCGTTCAAGCCACTCTTCCCGAGCGAGTTTCAAACCTTTGAACCCCGGCTTGGTACAAACC